CTCACACACACACACACACACACACACACACACACACACTCACTCGTATGCAGACTGGATTAATTTGCTCTGCTGCCTTCATGCGTTTGAAGCAGAAACAGTGTGAAGCTCACAGGTTACACGTTACGTAAACAGGCAGCCATATGTCGCCCCGAGTCATTTCGCATATAATGCGCTTGTCTCGAATGATTAATTTATCAGTTATTGAGCGCAGCACAATGGTGTAATTGGACAGGATACGCCTTGCTTGTCATGCTAATTCGTGTTACAATGCAAGCACATCACGGTAAGCGCCTGAGCGAGGCTTTGTAGCGAATCCTAAACGTTTGCATATGGATGAGGCCGAGGATTGTGCAAAACAGGCTCTGAGAACGGGGCCGGTCAGAAAAGAGCAGACGTCACGCCTGCACAGCAAGAGGGCATTAGTGAACTTTTCAACAAAACACCAACTCGAGAGCAAGATATTACTCACGGCTTCACAGACACCTCGGATGGCTCGCGAAAGGCCACGTCACATGATAAGCAATCCAAACAAGACACTAGCATTTAGAGCCAGCGTCCCTAGTGTTCAATGTTACGCATCAAGGCATTTTTGCATAAAAAAAAATAACTGCATGAAGATTTTGAGGAGAAAAAATGCATTTGGATTTGGAACAGCATGAGGACAGAAAGGAATTAATGACAGGATTTTTTTTTTTTTTTTGGCTGAACTGTTCCTTTCTCAGTTTTCCATTGCTTGTTCACCACTGTGCTCTGAAATGGCGCTGTGATTTTGGGCTCCTAATGTGAAGTCCATCGCGAGTCCCTGAGTCTGCTGCAGTAATAACTGCCTGACCTGCTTCCAGCACGCCGGCTCACTCTATTATCAAGCAGTACAGCAATTCCAGCTATGAAAGCTGAAGGGGTACAAAAAGTCAATATCAGAACAGCAGCCCACCGAACGCTTTGTGCTGATATGCAATTTCACTGCCGACATGCGTCTGATAGCTTGTTTATAATTCTCCTAAAGTGTGACTGAACAGCTTGTAGTGGACATGTATCTTCAGACAGGAGTGAATGGAGCCGGCTGGACGAGGACGCCCGGGGTGAAGCGGTCTTATCAAAGGCTAATCAATATGGAAATGCAGCGAGGGTTAGGGCACACCATTGCACCTGTATGCGGGATGCGTTTGATCGACTGCAGCTCAGCTTTGACTCTCCGCAGGCCGTTCATTTGAAGCCTGTCATCGCCATAAAGACTAGAGAGGACCGTTAGTGAGCTGCTGTCTATGTAGGCAGCTACCTTCTAACTAAACCGAGCCTGATTGGAAACATTCTCCACAAACAACCTCAAATACTTCCAATGTTACTGAGCTAATGATGAAACAAACTAATGAGCACACAATCTATCAGGTGCATCAGCGGCTTTCATTAAGATTATTTTTATTGCATGAATGTTAACAGTTCATTAATTCATGATTAATTCATTATCATTCAGTATATTAATCCACTTAAGATTCATTGTAGCTTTCAGTAAGTTTCAGGGATGAATCTCATGAATAATGAATGTTTTCAGAGAATGGTTTACTGTAAAAAGCCTTGCTGTTGCAGAGGCTCACTATGCGGTGTGTCAACTGGCAAAGAAAATGACCATTTCAAACAGGAAAGAGGACTTTTAACTCTAAAGGCAAGGAGTAAAAGACGAAAATATACCTGATTATTAGCCTGAGCTTGAAGCTTTCTACTAGAAAAATAACCCTTAGTAATGTTGTGAGTTTCGAAGCAGTTGCTCTGAATCTGAGTGAACCTGTGCTCGTCTCTGGTGTGTTCGGTTTCTTTTAGAAACAGTGAGATCATGAGGGCATCCAGTAAGAACTGCAGCGACCGCTGCACTTCTGAAAGCTGTAGATGACAGTGTGAACGTTCATGTGAAACAAAACCAGAGCTGGCAGCGTATATGTGTTTGACAGAAGCTCTATAACAAAACTAGCCTTTTCATTTGCTTCCGTTCCCGCTCACTCATAAGCCCCATCATTCAGTAGTGTCACCCGTCACACCTCATGACACAAGAGAGGATTGTTTCAATGAAACCCACAAACAAGCGGACAGAGAAGTGTAAACTGGGCCTGATTCCCTCAAACAAAAGAACACTGACTGCAGAGTCCAGCACTGATCACACATTCTGTGTCCATGCCTTTCACTGCTTTCCACTGTAAGGTCATCCCTCATCATCGCAAATGACTTCTTAAAAGCAGGACCATGTTTTACACTGTGAAAGCATCACATATTTAAATAGGTGGTCATCTGTGCTTCTTTCCAACATTTTTAAGTTAAGCGTCTTTCTACAGAGTTTGTCTTCCGCTTGTTCACTGGCGGCTTGAAGCCTATATTCTCTGTAGAACAGTATGTATTGTGCAAACTGCTACAAGCTGGACTTGAACTGAAGGAGTTTCTCTTAGTGATTGTGCATCTGCAATAGTGAGGAGAAAAGAAAACACACCTCATATGATGGATAGAAAAGAGTTTTCTGTAATGTACAGAATGTAGCCTGGAGTAGGAATTAGACGCTTGTAAATAGCATATTTTCAA